TTGGATTGTGACGTTCTCTTGTTGATGACTTGTGAAAGGAGTTACAATGACTGCGAAGGATGCAATTGCAGGGCAACATAAAACAGGGCAGGTGACGGGGTTGGAATTTTGAGAAATGTTTGGGGGCAAAAATGGAAATGCAGACCCCTGACAAAAAGCTCTGAGATGAAGTGCGTTGGGGCTTTTTAGAGTCGTGTAATTAGGATGATATATTTCTTATTAGTCGTATAATTACGATAATGTATTCCCTAGAATAAATTAGGGTAATAAATCCCTTGGAATAAAGTTAAGCCCCTGTTTGGCCCCCATTACCTGAAAATGGTAATGGGGGGAATAGTATTTTTTAGAAAAATAAGTGGTTGAAAAAGAAGGTAAATTTTTCGATTTACGTGTAATATTATTTTATAGAAGATTGTATGGTTGAAAATATGAGAGAGAAAAATGGAATGTAATGTAATTTAATTTAATGTTAATCAAACAGGGGCTAAATGTCCAGAGTTGCTTTACCGGGTATTTTACTGAGTAAAGTGGAAAATGTTGATGTGGATTCAATTAAAAAATAATAATAATAAGCATTTGGAGGGAAATGAAATGAGAAACACGGTATTGGAGTCAAATTGAACCCCCAAATTCTCAAACCCTCATTTCACTCATTCATTTCTCTAAAGCTCGAAATTCAACAACTCCAATGATTGCCAACCGCACAACTAGTTCTCGGTGTAAGATTTAAATCGATTATGTGGGCTTATAGCTGCGTAATCTTGTCACTGGGCTACGCATAGTGGACAATATAGAAAGATCGCTCAAGATATTTCTTGACAATAAATCAATAGTGTTTTATTCCAATAACAACAGGAGCTCAAAAAAGTTGAAACATATAGAGATCAAGTTCCTGACTTTTAAAGGAAGAGTTCAAAGTGGACAAGCGTCAATAGAGCATATTGGAACAAACTTCATGATTGCAGACCTGCTTACTAAGGGATTAATACCCAAAGTCTTTCATGAGCACACTGCTCATGTGTGTGTAATGTCTCTTGAAAATATCGAATTTCAGTGGGAGTTTGTATTTTTGCTTTTCATATTGGACACATGTACTATTATTTTGGATATGGTTTATGGTTAAAGTTATTTTCAGTTATAATGTTTATTTAGTTTATTATCTCTAAACTTGTTTAAAATAATCTCACTAAATTATTAAGGTGGACCAGTTGGAAATAGGCATGTTACAAATCACATCACATGTAATTTTTATGCTATACGTCCACGCTTGATCTATATCATTCAGTTATATCGATATACAGGACCATTGATGGGTTCAGTTACAATGAAAGTAGTGAAAGCTGGTTTGATCTTATGTTGATATAATTGATGGATCGAGTTGTTTGGGGATGCATTCGATAATGCTAGCAAAATTCTAAATAGTGATAAGGTTATGTTTGATACACAATTATAAGGTGACACATATAGTTCAAGTGGGAGATTGTCAAGAACTTTTAATTCGATCATGTGGGCTTATATGTGTAAATTATTGTGTATTGAATTAAAGGCTATGAAATTCGATCAAGCCCGTTCAAAAGTGATCTGATAAGATTTCGATATTTTGGATTTAAATGCATCCAATTAAAGTAAGAGTCTTTTATGTATAGAGATCGGGCCCAAGTTTCTAATTCTATAATGGGCCGAATTAGGTCAAGGAGTGTCAATATATAAATACAGTTATGGTTTCCAAATCACACGTACGTGAATTGTTCATTCTATTTTGTCTCTCATCGCTAGAGAGAATTTCGAGCTGCGTGCTGATTTGAAAGACTAAACCACGGGATTCAACTGTTGAATTAATCATGTCTGATTCAAGTACGATTCCGCTATAGTTCTTGAATTTCTTGATAATCCAACATGAAAGATTTGATGATTCTAAGATAACTTATCCAACACTTGGCAAGCCATATGCTTCTCTTCCAACTAATTCCCACGTGAGCCAAACTTTTGGCAACAGCCGTCATTTCACTCATTTCCATGAAGTGTGAAATTTAGCAATTCTTCTATGCAACAGCCGTGAGGCTAACTATCTTTAATTGTTGTGATGAATTGGTCTTTAATTCTTCTTTCTTATTGTGTGAATTGAGATAAATTGTTACTTGATGTTATTAATGTTTTACACGGTCTTCATATTGATGATCATAGCTGTGTTTTAATTGGTGGCCACGTCACCAATTCCAAACCAATAAAAAAAGAAGAGAAAAGAAAAGCAATGTGAGAAGCTTGTGATGGAGACCTTGTACATCTTCATCTAACATGTTTTTTTTTTTTTTTAAGGGAAAAAAATCATATCTTAGCTATTAAGTATGCATCAAATCAATTTTCAGAGATTAAGTTTCAATATGCAAAAGTAGGTTTTTATTTTATTTTAATTTTAAATAATAATATTATCAACTTAAATTACTCTATCCACACCCACCCCAACCGTCCTTGTCCCACTCATCGGCATCCACCCGCAATTGACATCCACCGACCTCCACACCGTTGTCGACTTCTTCAACAGTGAATTGATTGTCGTTCAGTTACAACTGAGTTCATCGACAAGTGAGACTAAGCCACATTGGTATAATTTAAGAATTATTTTTAAATTTGAAATTTGAAAAATAGCTCATATGTAAGTTACAAAGTACTCATTAGAGCAAATAGCATAAATTCTCATTGCCAAAATTTGGTTAAATGAATTTGTGACCAGTTCGAAAGTTGAGATCGGATAAATCAATTGCATATGACCAGATCTTTGAAATTTTTCACGTGCGATCCAATCTAATAGCCTATGTCCAAATCTTTTGGATATGTGACATTTGACTTGAGCTAAAGGTCTACGAACAAATCTCTGAATTCGTGGCATATAACCTATGCACTTCAAATGTAACTTAGAATCTGATTCAATGGCCTATGAACAAATCTCTTGGACTTGTGACCAAATCTCTTGAATCCATGAGCTGTAACATATGTAATTTGGCATGTGCCTTGTTACGTGTGACGTTGACTTGATCTAAAAGCAGGTGAACAAATCTCTTAAAATTGTGACCTAATTTAATGATATGTGACTAAATCCCTTGAATTTGTGACATGTGATATATGTACTTTGACATATAACTCATGCACTTTTATAGGTCACATATTCAAGATGGATCGTTACATGAACTCGATAGGTTGTAACCAACAGACCTCCAAAATCACCAATGCCAAAACATCACAAAAACCACCACCAAACCTCCATAAAAACCACTTCCAACCACTACTTTTAGCACCTCATCCCATGTCCACTTAAACCAACACCACCACCTGTATTAACATGACCACCATCCCCTGCAATAACAGGACCACCGCTAGAACTGCTACATCTATTACCACTTGAACAATCGTCACCATCATCATCCACAAACAGCCTAAACTACCTCCAACAATGTTTCCGTAACACCAACAATTAAAAAAAAATAGATAATCAGAATAACCTCAAACCCGTAAGTAGCCATTTAGATTCAAGATAGGTCATTGTGAGCGGCGACAACGATCTGAACGCCAATCTGAGTAGCACCAAACCCCAGACTCGTAAGCGCCCAACAAATTTATAAGCAGCCAACTCGATTTGAACACCACTATATGTGGCCTTGTTGTTGAAACTCCAATGATGACGATACAAGAGTAGGAAAGAGAGAGAGATGAGAGAGACTATAATTATGGGTTTTGTCAATACCAGATTTATGCTCGAGTAAACATAATACTTGATTTTAGAATTGTCATCTTTAAATGTCTGCTATGGTGTTATTTTCACTTTTTTATTTGCCTCATAGGCCTTGTAAAGAACCTGTAAGCAAAAACTATGTACACTAAGAGCGATTATATTCTTTATTAGAGTCGTATAATTACATAAAATCATAAATTAAAAATCATAACCAATTAAGAAAATAAACTCCAGACCAACTAAGAAGTATCCTGAATATTTTTCTCTAACATTATCTTCCGATTGAAGAAGATTCATTCTCAAATCTTGCACCGTGTTTTCATGCGATGTCTCATCATGCTCCATACGGAATTGATGTTGCAACGTCAATCAAAATATTTTATCTCGTTGTACACCAAAAGAAATTGAGATGCTTCATCTTGGCAGTTGAAATTGAATTAATTACAACATAGTTTTCACTTGACTTAGCTTCCGAATCAGGATTCAAGAGAGCAAAAGATGTGTTTCAGACTCTATCCCAGCATTCGTACAATGATCTTAATCATCGAGTTCCTTGACGGTTGCTCATATTCCATAAACTAAGCTAACTAAGCTAAATAAGCCGTTGGAACACTCTTCATCCTCGAGTTTTGTAACCCTATCCAAGCTAAGGCTCGTGACCATCCCCACCAGCTGGCTGGCCTTGTCTAAATGTAATGCATGCATTATGGCCACCATCTCTTGCTTCTAGCCGATTACCAAAGAAGTCAACCATTTCAACCACATGTTGTGCCACAACCTCCAATTGTTCCCAAATTTGTATTAGATCATATCTATGGTACCCATCATCAACCTTGGTATCATAACGTCTAACACGTCCTCCTCGATACATTGTCAGGAGTGTAGACTGAGCTATGATAACAACTGATGTAGGCAAAAGCACAAACAAGAATATCACGAGATTTCAAAAGCATTATTTGTGAACGAATAAGCGATTGACCAGATATTTGAAGAACAATCTTCAATGATTTAATTAATATTCATAAAACGATCGCATTACAATGAAGACTTTTTATAGCATTGGTATATAAATGCATGAAACAAAACCATATCTAAATAGGAATTTTTTAAAAACTCGATTAGGGGTATTAGATTCCAAATTAGAATGGTATGATTACGTAAAATTAATAAACTAAAAATCCTAACCAGTTAAGGAAATAAACTCCTAACCAAGGAATCTATCTCCATCGATGTCATAAAATATATAAATAAATAGATAGGTAAAGCCAAAACCTTTGATCAAACAAGATAATCACTTATTGCTTATAATTTAATTTGAGTTTTTTGCTTCAAATATCACTTGTCAATGTACATATACGCCAGTCCAAATAGGAAATAAAATGCTGCTAGATTTTATCCATAAGCTTAATTTCATTTCCATTCACCCTTGTGATTCTGAAGATCACTTGGTCTTGAAATAGTGCTCGTTTCCTGCTAAAAAAAGAAAAACTCGGTAAAGAAAATTTTCAATGTTCGGGTGGCATGCTTCATAATGTATTGAACAAACGGAAGAAAGAAGTTAAATTCAAAATCTATTGTACTCTCTACAAGAATAAACGACACAATCTTACACCAAATAAAGAATTTTTTGCTTCTGGTCCCCTATTTGCACCTGATCAGTTCTTGTACTTCATGGTTTCTTTCTCAAATCCAATTGTTGGGAATTGCTTCGCATACTCCTCCACATCTTGGCGAAGTTTTTCAATCTCAGAGGTGCTCGACTGCATTGCAGTCACAAAGTCCTTCAACTTTGTCCCTGGAGTAAAAAGGGAGAAGTGAAAGATGAAGCGAAAAAAGAAGCTTTAGACATGACAGACACTCGAAAAGAAATTTTATTCAAAAGATTGAAAGAGTTTATGGAGTGTTTGGTAACAAGGACTAGAAAGTAGTAAAAGGAAAAAAGAAGTTAAAATTTTATCGAGATATGTAACTACTGATGTGCATTAAACATGTACTCATAGAGTATGATAAGGTAATAAAAGTAAGCAATTAAATCACCTTGAGTGTTAGCCTTAATTTTCAGTGCCAACTTCACAGAAGCATCGAAAAACTCGGCAACTTTAACAAAATCCTCTTCTACAAATCCCCGAGAAGTAAGAGCCGGGGTTCCTGAGAAATACGAGTTCATCAAATTAATTAGTTTGGAAAACTAGTTTTGCAGTGAAATCGCAACCAATGGACAAGTGTCTTACCCATTCGGATGCCACCAGGAACCATTGCGGATACATCTCCAGGAACGGTATTCTTGTTGGCTGCAATGTGGACAGACTCCAACACCTTCTCAACCCTGGAACCATCAATACCCTGAAGAAACAAAAAACCAAAAAAAATAAATTTAGCCGTTCAAATTGACCCCAAAAGAAAAAATAAAAATTTAGTTTTACCTTGTTTTTCAAATTGACTAGAACTAAGTGGTTCTCGGTTCCACCTGAGACGAGATCATAGCCCTTCTTGACCAAAGTCTGTATAAATGAATTGATTTTAGCATTGAATAAAAAAACACATAAATCGTTAATTCGAAATTATAACTACTGATATAGTTTCTGTATAAGATCTTTCAGTCACAAGTCTTAGTCCTTAGTAAGCCGTACCTGGGCAAATTTTGAGCAGTTACTCATGACTTGCTCTTGGTAAGCTTTGTATTCTGGAGTCGTAGCCTGCATTTATATCAAGAAGGATAATATGAACTTCCTTCATTCGTTTAGATACCCTATATTGAGTTTAGAGCCTCGAACCTGTTTCAGCGCCACTGCTAAGCCGGTAATAGTGTGATTGTGAGGGCCGCCTTGAAGTCCAGGAAAGACAGCTTGATTGATTTTTTCTTCATAGTCGTACAATACCTTCAAATTATACCCGGTGTTAGTTATCTTCCATTAAAGATGAAATTTAACTTTGCCAGCAACAATACGAAAGGGAAGATGATTAGATGAAAATATTAAAGACGAAAATTGGTTTTGTCGAACCACCTCATTTAAAACTTTAGTTTTTAGAGTTGACACAATTTTATTTATTTAAAATCAATCTTTATTGTGCCCCTTCACTTGGAAATTAGGATTCATATTTTCATCCTAACATATGCACAATTTTTATAAATGAGCGACAACAAATGGACAATTTTATTTACTTAAATTCAGTCTTCAACAAGTTATACAAGGATGAAACTTTACGCTAGGACTCGTTTTCAAAAACTAACCTCTTTTCCTTGTTTATTGATCTCTTTTATGCCCTTCCTGAAAAAAATCATGGCACCACGAGGCCCACGAAGTGACTTGTGGGTCGTTGTCGTAACAACATCGGCATACTCAAAAGGCGATGGGATAACATCAGCCGCCACTAATCCACTAATATGTGCCATATCAGCTAACATAATTGCCTTCTGCTTGTCACAAACCTGTCAATACATAAACAGCACAAACATGTCGTCTGATTAAAATCTTTCGCAACATTGTAATGTAGAATGGATAATAAATCTAAAAGATTCTACCTTCCGAATGCGTGCATAGTCATAGAGACGTGAGTAAGCACTGGCACCGGCAACTATTAGCTTCGGCCTAAAGAGTGTGGCACTATTCTCCATCTGTGTATGAAAATAGAAGCTAAGAGATATAGATAATACAAAATTTTAACAATGTTAATAAAACTAAGCCTTTTCCTAAACATAGAGTTGACGAATTTGTAGAACATCAGATCATGAGATTTGAATTTGCGTAAGATCAACGGTTAAATATTGAGGAAACAATAAGAGAAGCATAATTTACCTGATCATAGTCGATGTAGCCAGTACTTTCATTCAATCTATAAGGCATAGTCTCAAAGAATATAGAGACTGCCGATATCTTCTTTGTGTCAGTCTGTAAGTGTTGAAAAAACAGATTAGACTACAATAAACATAACATAACTAGAACTAAACCTGACTTTTTTTCCCCCAATTTGTTAAAAACTTGGTAAACTTTAAGCCACAATGAATAAGGTATGAATTACATAGAATGTGGAGATGGTGGAAATTGTGATAACCTGATATCCATGTGAAAGATGCCCACCATGAGGAAGATCGAGTGCCATTATTCTCTCGTGTGGTTTAAGTAATGCAGTGTAAACTTGAAAATTTGCCGGGGATCCTGATAGAGGCTGCACATTCACTGCATCAAAAAAAGTATATGTACAATAAGCTCCCTTCTTTTCCTTTCTATTGAGATAAATGAGATAAAGTAGTTTAAGAAACATCTATCAGTTCACAAAGTTTAACATAAATCTCGATGTTATTAATGAATCAAAAGAAAATCACCTCCCCACTTTGCAGGATCCAATCGAAATGCTTCCAAAGCACGTTTTTGGCATAAAGACTCCGCCATGTCAATGTACCTATAAGCAGCATATAAAAGTAGTCCAAAAATGGTGAAAATAAATCAATTAGGTGCATATATAGAGGTCTCAGCATACTCATTTCCTCCATAGTATCTTGCACCAGGGTATCCTTCACTGTATTTATTAGTCATAATTGAACCAACTGCTTGCATCACAGAGACCGAAGTAAAATTCTCCGAAGGAATAAGTTCCAGTCCCTAGATACAGATACAATGTGAACCCGAATCAATATGATAATACAGTCACGTTCTTAAAATAATTTTGCACATGAACTTGATAGAATACGATATTACTGTGGAAGAGAATTGAAATAGAAAGATAGTACCTTCCATTGTCGGGCTTTCTCCAGCTCAATAATGTTAGCAATCTCAGGATCAACAACTTCAAGTGGAGCATTCAGTTGCTTTGGCCACTGCAATTAATTAACAATTTAAACCACAAAATAAAATCACCGTTGAGGATTAAGACGTAATCAATAATAATTCGAAATGAACTTTGAAAAGCGAAAACTAAGACAGCAAAACATAGATTTACAGTAGTTCACACTCTGTATCAGAGTTACGTCTACTTGTTGCTAGGGAAGAATTCAAAGTTTTTCTCTCGTCTTCTTCGTACACAGATAAGTAACCCTTAAAAACCCTTAACAAATATGATTTGATTCCACACAATTCGACAATCACAAAACGAAGAACAAAGACAACTCAATAACGAAGTAAAATACGAATTAAACAAAAACTTAGGCTTACCGAGACACCATTTTTTTCCTTCTCATACACTGCTTCATTTGGCAAAGATGACTAGGAAAAAAAAACACCCAAATCAACACAAGTTAAATTCTTTCAACAAATGATAAATACAATAATCAAGAAAATAGATCAAGAGATAGAAAAGAAAATAGCACCATGTAATAAAGAGAGCCGCCATTATAGAAACGCTTTGCGGGTTTATCAACGGTGGAGGAAAGCCGCCGGAGAGCCATTGCCAACGCCATTTTCTTTCTTCTTGAGTATTTCTCTATCCACAAAGGGACACACTACACACCTTCATTCTCGGTCTCTTGTTTTGAGTATGGGTTTTCTGGGTGAGATTTTGGGTGGTGGGAAAAAAATCAACAATTTTCTTCTTTTTTTTTTTAAAGATTATCCCTTGGAAATTTGTATCAGAAATTCACCAACGGCTAGTGTTTGATATTATGGATCCCACTAACTAAAGGAGGGAAGATAACTGAATCTGTGCATGTTTGGCAAAATTAATTTAAATTGTCAAATAAATTTTTTATCCACACATTTTCTAAGGATTATTCAATTTGCCAAAAATAAAATCTTTAGACGTGATTAAAGTTTTTTTTTTTAAATAAAAAATAAAAATAAGTGCAAATCTTATATATATATATATATATATATATATATATATATATATATATATATATATATTTTTAAACACAAAATATATATCT